GGGCAGGGCAATGAGGAAGGTTTGGGGTGCTGATGAGGGGAAGTCGGTCTATGGGGGCAGGGCAGTAAGAAGGGTTTTGGGGTGCTGATGAGGCGAGGGGAGGTCAGTCTATGGGGCAGGGCAGTGAGGAGGGTTTGGGGATGCTGAGGAGGCGAGGGGAGGTCGGTCTATGGAGGCAGGGCAGTGAGGAGGGTTTGGGGGTGCTGATGAGGTGAGGGGAGGTCAGTCTATGGGGGCAGGCAGTGAGGAGGGTTTGGGGGTGCTGATGAGGGGAGGTCGGTCTATGGGGGCAGGGCAGTGAGGAGGGTTTGGGGGTGCTGATGAGGGGAGGTTGGTCTATGGGGGCAGGGCAGTGAGGAGGGTTTGGGGGTGCTGGGTCTATGGGGGCAGGGCAATGAGGAAGGTTTGGGGTGCTGATGAGGGGAAGTCGGTCTATGGGGGCAGGGCAGCGAGGAGGGTTTGGGGGTGCTGATGAGGGGAGGTCGGTCTATGGGGGCAGGGCAGTGAGGAGGGTTTGGGGGTGCTGATGAGGGGAGGGGAGATCGGTCTATGGAGACAGGGCAGTGAGGAGGGTTTGGGGGTGCTGATGAGGCGAGGGGAGGTCGGTCTATGGGGGCAGGGCAGTGAGGAGGGTTTCGGGGAGCTGATAGGACGGGGGGCACTGGGGGAAGGGCTCTGGGGCTGGCGGGGCCGGGGACTCCCAAGGCAGAGCGTGCGGCGCTGCGAGCCGGCACTTCCTCCCCCCGCCCCGCTCTTACCCTGCGGCCGCTCGCGAGGGGCCGCCGGCGCGGGGCCGGGCTGGCTGCGGAGGAGCCGTAGCGCGACCAGGCCGGAGACGGCGGCGCCCAGCGCAGCCCCGCAGACGAAGCCGCCCAGGAAGCGGCGCTTAGCGAAGCGGGCGCCCGGAGTCTCCGCCATGGCCCGGCCGGGGGGAAGGAGGCGGCGGCTCCCGCTCAGCGCTGCCCCCTGCAGGCCGGCCGGGGAGAGGAGCGGAGCCGCCGGGCAGCCCCAGCCTGCAGGGGTCCGGGAACCGCTGCGCCGGGGACAGGCCTGAGGCCCGGGGCTCCCCACTACTCCCAGGCTGCTGCTGGGGGGTAAAGGCCCCTCCGTTTGCAGCCTAACCCAGCTGCGGAAAGTGTTACAGCTGGGCCGGGGGGTTAAATACCTTGGCTGAGTTTGCTGCAGATAATCTCATGGAGGAGATTGGAAATAATAAACCATAAATATTTCCCCGTGAGAGAAATGAACGCTGGGAACAAGCCACCCGCGCTCATGGGGGATTTTCCACCAGCGGCAATTTTTACATTAAGAATCGCTTTTTTTTTCTAAAAGATCTGCTGTGGGGTTTAGCTAGGGAAGGGCTCTCGCGTGTGTTATACAGGAGGTCAAAGGAGATGATCGCAAGGGTTGCTTCGAGGCTTGGACTCTGTTATTCTGATCTGCACCATCACCCTTGCTGCTACCCCGCGCAGAGCCAGTTTCCGTTCAGTAAAACACAGTCTTCAGCTCATAAATTTAGTCTTTAACTGATAGGGGTAACCCCGTGAGCCCAAGTAAAGAATGATGCTTAAGAAAAAATGAGGCAAAGCAGGGGCCAGGCTTTGCTAGACAGAGGTTTACCTGCAAAGATTTCCATTTTCTTTAGATTTTTCAACTGCACCTATTAACATCTAAGAGCTTTCCAAACGCTAAAAGACATACAAGCTGACTTATGGCAGTTAAGTTATATCCTCACCCTCTCCTCCACCCCCCAGAAGAAGTAAATTACATGAGAAGTATGGGCATTTTCCAAAGATGCTAATAATTAGAGTTCCTGTGTAGAAAAGTACATGGGAGCTGTGATCATCTTTAGATCCTGTAGTAATGAGTTCTAAAGTCTTAGGCCCCATGTGAGAAGCACCCTGGCTCAGGGCTTGTGTACACGACAAAATTAGATAGACTCAATTTAGGTCAACCTACTGCCACCACAGTCATTCAAGCAGGTGTTGGTATCTACATTACCCTCCTTCACTGGTGGAGTGCATCCTCACCAGGAATCACCACCAACTGAAGTGGGGCATTGTGGGGCACTGACAGCCATGCAGGACTCACAGCTGGAGCCCCCCACCCACCCTAAGGTTACAGCCCCAGCTGTGAACCCAGCCCCCTCAATTTCACAGCAGGAAGCCTACCAGCTTGAAATAGACCAGGGGTTCTCATACTAGCGGACAGGACCCCTCAGGGGGTCATGAGGTTATTACATGGGGGGTGGTGAGCTGTCAACCTCCACCCCAAACCCTGCTTGCCTCCAGCATTTATAATGGTATTAAATATATTAATAAGTGTGTTTAATTTATTAGGGGGGGTCACACTCAGTCTTGCTGTGTGAAAGGGGTCACCAGTAAAAAAGTTTGAGACCCACTGAAATAGACATTCTTGCTATTGGCTCTGGCTCAGAGCACAGGCACCCAGAGCTCTAGGAGCTCCATGGGGAGCTAGG